GTTCACACCACAAACTCAGAATTTACTTTGGGTGCCATTTGATCCCTCTCTTCAGTATTTCTAAAATCGACCCTTATTTCTACATTCTTCTGTTACCACCCTAATTGAAGTAATGTTGGCTTTTACCAGAACCACTTAGAATGTATAAACCATATCACAGTTCTCTGTGGGAAAACCAAAATTATTTTTTAAAATAAGCATGTGTTTGTCTCCACTCCTCTACTTTCTTTTTGATTGTTTCCATTTGCTTTAGAGTAAAGAGTTGAAATCTAAGAGTTGCTCAGCTGGCCTTCCATCCACTGCTTCCCCTGGACTTTCTCACTTTTTCTTGGTCACTAATCTCTCTCAACACCCTGTAGTTTGTCTTTTTTCTTTTTGTCTTTTTGAGAGAGGGTCTCACTGTGAAGTTCAGGTTGGACTTGAGCTCACTTTGTAGCCCAGGCTGGCCTCGTACTAGCAACGATCCTCCTGCCTCAACCTCCCAAGTGCTGGGATTACAGGTGTGAGCCAACCCGGCAAGTTGGTCTTTTTTCACCCCTCAAATATGTCAGGATACTTTTAACATTGGAAACTGTGTTCTACTTTTTTGTTGTTGCTGGAAGCACATAGTAATAAGCATACATCCATTTATGAAATAGCATAGGAACAATACAAACATTACAGAGTTATGGACAGATTGGTAGGAAATTATCAATGGCTTTGTAATACATGTTGGTATCTTCAAAGTGGTTTCTCAGGAAAACAGGGATATGCACGAAAGATCTAACAAGTAGTTACAGCCAAAGGGTTGTGAAAAATAGAGGATTACCTCCTCACCAGTGACTCCTTCGACTGAGGTGTGACAGCTGGAAGGAAGGCCAGGACTGAAAAGAAGGATCAAGAGACTAGCACCAGGGTCCAGCAATAGGCTGTTTACTTTTTCCTCTATAGTCATAATTACCTGGGGCTTCTCCATGGAGATGATTGTCTGGCCAGAGGGAGAAGGCAGAGTATGCCCTGAGCCCCTTCATTCCTGTTGGACCAGCAGGTAGGCGGGGTCTGAGCTCTGGGGCCTTTGCTTCAGATGGCAGTCTGACCTATAGTGGTCACCTTTACAATCAAGGCATGGCCAGGGGGGTTTCTTAGGGCAGTCCTTCTTGAGGTGGCCTGGCTTTTGACAGTGGTAGCAGATGAATGTAGTCATCAAGTTCTTCTTGGGGCCCCAAGACTGTGTTCTTCTTCTCTTGGCCCTGAATACTTATCTCCAAGCTCTGCCTTGACTAAGAACTACCAGTACATGTGCATGTATGTGTGTGTACGACATGCATGTTTGCTTCATGTCTTCAAGTTTCACTGTTTCATCCATTCTACTTTTTCCTTGTACATTCCCTTTCTTTCTAAAGTATATCCTTGAATAATATTTCATTGAGTGCCTGTGGGTGGCAAAGTCTCTGTCTGAAATTTTCTTTACATCACCTTTATTCTTGAATAATAATTTATCTAGGAATAGAACCCTGGAATGATATTTCTTTTTGTCTGTCAGGGTTTGGGGGAAGTTGTTTCATTTTGCTGAGGCTTCTATTACTGCTATTAAAATGTCAATCTTCTTTATAGAACCCTAACTTGCAAATTCCTTTTGCATTGAAATTTTGTTCTTGGTATTCTGCAGTCTTACTAAAACTTTGGTAAATGAGGGTTTTAATATACTTTTTTTCTCCCAAGAATGGGATCTAATATGCTCACTAAACATAAGCTTCCATGTTTGAGCAATGGGTGAAAGTCTGAGCCATTACTTTTTGTATATTGCCTCTCTTCTTTCTTTTTAGAACTTCTATTCATCCTATACTGGCTGTTCTTTTCCTTTTTTTTTTTTTTTTTGGTACCAGGCATCGAACTCATGACCCGTGTATGGCTGTTCTTTTTCAACTCTCTGCAATTTATACCTGTATTTCACATTTTTGGTTTCCATGTATGTGTTAGTAAGCTTTCCATTGCTGTGATAGATGCCCGAGATAAACAGTTCAAAGAGGGAAGCTTTATTTTGTTTGTTTCTTTCATTTTTTTGTTTTTGTTTTTATTTCTACTCCTTTTCACATTCAGTCCCTGATAAATTGGCTCCATTGTTTGGGAGCTGTGGTGAAGTGGAACCTCCTGGTAGGGAACACTTGGACGGACAGAGCTGCTCCTTCAGGTCAGCAAGGAAGTGGAGAACAGGGAGAGGAGAGAGAAGCTGGATCAAAATCCACTCTTCAAAGACGAGCACCCATCAACTTCTGACTATTCCCTACCCACTCTCAGCAGCGGGACAGCTAGGGCCCAAGTCTTCTGAACAGAAGCTTTCAAAGGACAGCACTGAAGTCTTGACCTCCTAGTTTACAAATTCTCAATTCCATTTTATTATATTTGTCTTTTAAACTATACATTTGGAATTTGTGTGAAATGTTAAAACTCATTGCCAGAGGTTGCTCAATTTGTTTGTTTTTTAGTATGTGTGCTGCAGAAGTGAGCACTCGAAATTTTTATTATGAAATTTTTAGTTAAAATTTTAATTTTACATCAGAGGTTATTTAGTCCTAGTATTTTTCTGTAGTTTCAGCTTCCTTGTTACATAGAGCAATTTAATTTAATTAATTAATTTATTTTTTGTCTTTTTGTGACAGGATCTCTCTCTACAGTTCAGGTTGGCCTTGAGCTCACTTTGTAGCCCAGGCTAGTCTCAAACTCTCAACAATCCTCCTGCCTCAGCCTCCCAAGTGATGGGATTACAGCCATGAGCCACCACACCCTGCCCTACATAGAGCAATTTAAGCTACATTTATTTCATATACTCTCTGATTGTTCCATTTTCTCCAGATCTTGGTATCAGATCTTGTTGTTCATCGCAAATGTTTATTATCACATATGTATTATTTTTTCTGGGTCATTAAAGTTTGAACTGTAAACTAACTTTTTGATGGTAACTTTTTAATGGTAAAACTAACTTCAATGGTAATATGTGAGCCTTGTTTTGAAAACATCTTTTCAATAAATTTGCATTCATCTGTGCTCAAAACTCAGTTATCAGCATGAGCCTCCTTTACTTATTTTGGGGTGGTAGTGAAAAATGTATGGTAAAAGCAGCAATCCAAAAAATTTTCCTGAAAAATATAATGGTGGTGCATGCCTGTAATCCCAGCATATGGGAGGCTGAGGCAGGAGGATTGTTGTGAGCTTGAGACCTTAATACTGCCTTTTATAATTTTATTATACTTTGGTAGCACATGTGTAACATTACATGATGATGAGTTATATTTGGGGAATTTGGTGCCTGCTTTTGTCATGTTTTAATCAGTTTCAAATCCATTTCTCCTCCTCTTTCTTTCCTCCTAATCCTGTGTATCTCCTTGACTTCAGAAGCCTGCTTCCTGTCCTCTCTCCATTGATTGATTAATTAATTATTTATTTTTAAGCTTTTTATATAACATAAAACATGTAATGAGGAATATTCTGTGCTACTGTATGTGTCATGTTTTATCCACTCATCTTTCCTATGTGTCTAGGCTGTTTTCCCTGCCAACCTATTATGAAATTGTGCTGCTGCAGACACGGGTATGCATGTATCACCCAAGTATATAGTCCTTAATTCTTTGAGGAATACATGTGAGTGGTATAACCAGTACAAATGGTATTTCACTGTTTTATTATTTGAGGAATCTACATACAAATTTCAATAGGGTATAATACTTTACATTTCCACCAACCAGTTATGTAAGGGAGCTCTTTACCCTCCTCCATCTTTGCCAACATTCACTGTATTCTGTATTCCTCATAGTAACTACTCTGGCTGGGGTGAGATAAAACCTTGAAGTAATTTTAACTTGGATTTCTCTGGTGGCTACAGATGTTAAACAGTTTTTACATATTTTTGACAATTTAAAGTTTTTTCTTTTGTGAGATATCTGTTCAGTTTGTCTACTTTTTTATTGTTTAACAAAGTTAATTTTTAAAAATTCTTTACATACTTTAGTTATTAATCCTCTAGTAGAAGAGTAATTAGTGAAGATTTTCTTCTTTTTAGTGTGCTCTCTCTTCACTCTGATGTTTCCTTTCCTATGCGAAAACTTTTTAAATTGATGTGGTCATATTTGTAGATTCTTGATGTAATTTGTTGTGCTTTTGAATCCCTTTCTGGAAGTTGTTTCCTGTGCTTATGAATTCACTCTTTCCCCAGTGCTGTGCTCAGCAGTTTTGGTGTTTCTGGTTATTTATCTAGGTCTTCGATGCATTTTGATTTGATGTTAGTACAGCATGCAGTGTAGGAATCTACTTTCAACTGTCTGCCTGTGGATCTTCAGGTTTCCCAGCATCATGTGTTAAAGAGACTCTTTCCTCCAGCAAATATTTTTGGTCTCTGTGACTATTAGTCATAAAATGTCAACTTGGCTGGATTCAGAAACACGCACAGTACTAATAAACACACCTCTTGGTGTGTCTCAGTGGGTGACGGGAAAGTCCCTTGCTCTTTCCTATGTGGCATATTTCTAAACTGCCCTGAGCCACGCATCTTTGCTCTGCAACATCCTTCCACCATGGTTTTACCCATGGTACCTTGGGGCTCTTGAGGAAAGCAAAATTTTTCATCTCAGATGTTCCACTGCTGACACCACCCCTTTACCTGTACCAGTGGCTCTCTGGCCAGATAAGCTAACAGCTTTACTATATCCTGTTATTCCTGGCAAGCTGAAGACATCCTCATGTGCAGAGCTGTAAAATGGTCACTTTTAAAATTTAATTTAATTTAATTTAATTTAATTTAATTAATTTATTGTTTGAGACAGGGTCTCATTATGCAGTGTAGGCTGACCTTGAATTCACAAGCAATTCTCTTGCCTCAGCCTCTCAAGAGCTGGGACTGCAGATATATATCACCACGCCTGAAAAAACTGTCATTTATAAATAACAGCCTTCATTTGGTCTCTGTCACATAGCTTGCTTCCCTTTTCCCACCACAAAGCTCTATGTAAGGTCTCTAACCCCGTGCGTGGGGCTCAGAGTTCGGAGTGCTGAACTCCACTGGGCCCGCTGGCGTAATAAGGTTTGGCTCCCTCCCCTTGTCCAAGTGCTGCTTAGTTTCCTCACCTCCAGTGAACGAAAATTGCTGTAAGATCGTTTCCCTAGCTGGGAGGATTGACTGCACTGGCCCGTTGAGCCACCAGCTCGGACTTGGGGGAGCATCTGCCAGCTATCTCCCTGGGTAACTATACAGCATGGCCTCTGGCCTAATTGGTGAGACCCCCATCCATGGGAGAACAGGACAAGTTTGTGCTCCAGTGTCCTCCTGACCAAACTTGGCAGAGAAGTGAACTGGTTTTCAGCAGGACTTCTGGACAAGGTAAGGCCCCAGGCTGCTCTCCCTGTCCCAGGTCGGGCTCATCTCTGTGGATGGAAGGGGAGACTGATCACCTCCCAGAGGCTCACACCAGACTCCAGCCAGGCAACTCCCGAAAGGGAGGAGGGGAAGTTATAACCTCTGAGTGACTGTGTGAGTGAATGTGACTGTGTTTGTGGCTTGTCACAGATATGTATTTGTGGCTCCACAGTGTAAGCTATGGTATCTGAGTGGGCCCTAAGCTGCAGTTACATGGTGACATCATGTGGCATAACAGTGACTCAGCTTCCACAACAGGAGGTTGATGAGGCTCGCGGTTATGGGTGCTTCTTAGCCAAGATATGTCTAAGTTCCCACGAGGGATGGCCAGGCAGGCATCTGAGTGGTTTCCTTCAGGGGACTCCCACCCTTGTCTCTTGCAACATCATTCCCAGGGTGGGAAATTCATGGCTGGGGAATGCACACTGCAAGTCTACTGTCCTAGACTGCATGACCAAAAACTTTAGGAAAGGTGTTAATGGTGATTATGACATAAAAATAAAACTGTTAAAGCTCCAGACCCTCTGTGAGGTAGATTGGCCCTGATTTGACATCGAATGGCCACCAGAGGGAACCCTCAATCCTGACGTGCTCCAAACTGGAGAGAGATGACCAGACTGCCTGGCTACCCCGACCAGTTCCCACACAAATTCCTGGTTATAGATCAGTCAGATTCTTCCACCATAGGTGCAATTCTGAGAGGGGAAAAAAAGGGACAGAGCAGGGTCTTTGTCACCCAGAGCCCTAACCCACACCAAACCTCAAAGGACCAAAAGAAGCTGATTCACCAGGACACTTCTGATGAAGAATTCCACCACTGTTATCCTTCACCCCCGACTCATTTTCTTAAACTACTGTTGGCACCACTGCCGCCAGCGCTTCCAGACAGCTCACCTTCAGATCCTCCACCCTGGGTGGCCTCGCCAGAGCCAGAGGCAAATGAGGCCGAACCTGCCAGTCCCTCTCAGAAGCCCCTTGCCCAGCAACTCTGATCAGCACAACTACCTACTCTCCAGATGCTGCTCTGAGAGGTGAGAGATCCTACCTGAGGGGAAGCCAATGGCTCTGCCCAACCGGGTCCACCAACCCTGTACTACCAGCCTGTCTTAGTTACCTTTCTGTCATTGTTAAGACAAAATACCCCAGCACCCAATGTTAATTGTAAAACTTTCATCTGAGAGGAGAGCCTTTTGCCCCCTATGGGAGAAGGGCCACCTAGGGAATTGGCTCTCTTGGAATGATTTCACCACACTCAGCTGTTCAGGCACTCAGAGTCCAGTGCTGCTATAGTCCAAAGATGCTTGGCTGCTAACAGCACTGGTTGTAGGTCTTGGCATCATCTATATGATACTAATTTTACCAGCATGCAGAGGTCAAGGGTTGTGCTGTCATGGAAGCTTACACCTAGATTTCAAAGGAAAGCTTTGGAGGCTAGGAGAGGAGCCTCTCGTAAAGAAGTACATGAAGCTATGGGAATAAGGCTGAAGATGTAATGGAGACAACAGAAAGTCAGCAACATGGAACATCTCCTGAGGAAAGCTGCAGGCTGAGAGAGGCCATGTGGACACTGTCAGCAAGACTTAGGGGCGGGACCAACAAGACCCTTTTGAATTAACATCTCACTACCATGCGCTTCAGAGGCTGGGTATAGAACTGCAGAATTTATTTTTATTTATTTTTTTCTCTGTGATAAATATAATCATTATATATTTTAAATGTACCAATAAAATCTGATTGAAGAAAAATTTCTCAGCACCACATGTCAGATAAATGGTGCATAAATCCTTCAGATTCTGACAGTTATAATGGTAAAGCCCTGCTATCATGACTTTTAGTTCAGACAATGAGATGTCATGATATGTATTTGTTTCAGTATTACTATTGATGCATATGGAATATTTTACTTATATTTTACTATCAGTATATTTCAGAACATCTTGCTGCATACTGTCCATTACAATTTCTGACATTCAATTGCAGTGTTGACATTCCGTCCAGTAGGTTTTACCCCTGGCAATAACCTAGTAACATTTCCTGACCTAGTTCCAACCTTGGATTGTTCAGCTATACACGACCATCTCATAGCATTTTGACTAAGCAAATATTTATTTACATTATTGTTTTCTTCCTCATCTGAAGCAAAGTCTTCATTCTGTACTTCTCTATCTGTCACATGTTGCTAACTTCTTTGGCTTACATGATCCAAGTCATCCTCGGTAACTGAATCACCTGATGACTCACTTTAAACCTCTGGGCCAGGGATGTAGCTCAGTGGCACAGCGCCTGCCTGGCAAGCGGAAGGTCCTGAGTTCAGTTCCCAGTACCAAAAAAAAAAAAGGTGTAAATGCAGATCCTTTATTTTTGGTCTTTTTGAGGCAGGGTCTTGCTAGGCAGTTCAGGTTGGTCTTAAGTTCACTTTGTAGCTGAGGCTGGTCTTGAACTCACAAGGATCCTCCTGCCTCAGCCTCTGGAGTGCAGGGATTACAGAGGTGTGCCAACATGCCGGCAGTAAACACAGATCTTCATCCAACATTGTAATGAATTGGGCTCCATTTCTTTATAGAATTCTTAGAATTTTCATGCGTCTTAAGAAATTCAGTAACCACAGTCAGAGGAGGTAGAAGCAGCTCCAAGGGACAGGTCAGCTAGTGCAGCATAATTTCCCACTTGCTCATACACCATACATAAAGAGTAGACTCTAATCCTCAAGAATTCAGCTGTGCATGGGGCCTTCTTCCCTTCCCCTAAGGCTACCGCGAGCACAGAGAACCCCACCGCGAGTCTCCCAGTGGTCCAGTCGTCCTTTTCAAGGCTTCCCACCCTACCTGCCGCGCTCTCGCCCCTTCTCCAAACCCGAAAGCCCCCTCTCCCAGCATTTAGCGATTGCCCTGCTGGGCTTGCTTTAGTCCAATTCTTTTTTTCTCTTGACATATTTTTCCCTTTTGGAGCAGAATTTCTTACCCTGTGTTATTGTACAATGGGATTATGTAACTTGTTCTTCATGTTTACAGGGGTTGATCAGTAAGAGCTTCCTCTGAGTGTCAGAGGAGACTTTGCCATGGACTTTTGAAAAAAGTGCTGTAACTGTTGAGACTTTGGGGAAGGGATTATAGTGCTCTCAGCTGTGTGCAGCATGGGTGTGTTATGCTAGGGAGAATTATTACCTTTCTTATTGTCTTTATTTGGAGATTAACTATGGTTTAAGGAGATGTATTAGGTTATCAAGTAGAAAAGAGTTTGTAACCGCTAGTAAGCATTGTAACCATTAGTCATAATATGTCAACTTGATTAAGAAATGCATAGGATATTACCAAAGCACACTTTTGGATGAATTCAGCTAAGTCATGGAGGCGTGATCTTGAATACTATGTAGAACGTTTTGCTCCTTCCCCTCTGCTACTGTTCTGCTCTGCTTTGATATTATGAACTCAGCGTCTTTGCTTCACACACCCTTCCACCGTGAAGTCTCTGCCGACAATAGACTAAATCCCCTAAAACTGACAGCTAAATTCAATGTTTTCTTTTAAAGTTGTGGGTATTAAGTTCTGCATCCTGGTGATGGGAAAGCTGATTAATACAGCCCTTGTCAACAATCAAATGGTTATAGGTGTTTGGGTTTTTGTATCTTCTATTCTGTTCCATGGGTTTAGACTTCTGTTTTTGTGCCAGTACCACACTGGGTTTTTTTGTTTTGTTTTGTTTTTTTACTATGCCTTTATACTAAAGCATGAAGTCTTTTTTTCTTTTTCTTTCTTTCTTTCTTTCTTTCTTTCTTTCTTTCTTTCTTTCTTTTTTTTTTTTTTTTTGAAACTTGGTCTAGCTAGGTAGTTCAGGCTGGCCATGAACTCACTGTGTAGCCCAGGCTGGCCTCAAACTTGCAGTGATCCTCCTGCCTCAGCCTCCTGAGTGCTGGGATTACAGCCATGCGCCACCACACCCAGCCTCAGCATCAAATTTTATAGGAAGCCTTCAGCATTACTTATTTGCTCAGGGTTACTGTGACTACTGTGGGTCTTTTCTGATTCCAAGTAAAACTGAAGACAGCTTTTTCTAGTTCTGTAAAGAATGCTAGTGTTTTGTCAGAATTATATTGAATCTATAGATTCTTTGGGTAGTATGGACATTTTCATAATATTAGTTCTATCAATCCAAGAAGAAGTGGTGTTATTTCACTGTTTTCTATTTAAGTATTTTATGAAGCTACTGTGAATGGGACTGCTGTTCTGATTTCTTTCTCAGCAGTTTGAATATTATGTGGGAACCTGATAGACTTTTGTGTATTGATTTTGAATCCTGCCACTTTTTTGAGTTGTTTTGTTTTGTTTTGTTTTTGAGTTTTTTTGTTTTGTTTTGTTTTTCGGTTTTTTTGTTTTGTTTTGTTTTGTTTTGTTTTGTTTTGTTTTGTTTTGAGACAGGGTCTCACTGTGTAGTTCTGACTGGACTTGAGTTCAATATGTAGCCCAAGCTGGCCTCAGACTCAAGGCAAGCCTCCTACCATAGCCTGCTGAGGGCTGGGATTACAGGCATGCACCGATAAGCTCAGCCTGAATTTATCAGATCTAGAAAAAAGGTGGGAGTTTGAAGCACTTCTATTTAAAGAATAACATCATCTGCAAATAGGGGTAATTTGACTTTTCCCTTTCCTACTTGTATATTTTTATTGTCAAATTTTTCTTCCTAAAGTTTTTTAAAATTAAGTTTATTTGTTTTTTGGCGTTTTGTTTTGTTTTGTTTTTCTTTTTGAGACAGGGTCTTGTTATGCAGTTCAGGCTGGCCTTGAGCTCACTTTGTAGCCCAGGCTGGTCTCAAACTTGCAGTGATCCTCCTGCCTCAGCCTCCCGAGTGCTGGGATTATAGGCGTGCACCACCAGGCCTGGCTTAATTAAGTTTATTAGTACATTTTAGGTATACATAATAATCACATTAATTACAGGGAATTTGTACACAATATAATTTTATTTTTT